GAAGTTATTAGCAACTGCATGTCTTCTGTTTCTTTGGTAAACAATTTACTGAGTAGAGAACCAACATTTCCAAACTGTCTCCTTTTAGAAGGCCATTTCCTCCTTTGTTTGTCAGCATATCGTCTGCATTCTCAAGAGGATTTAGGGAACATGTCAAGGGAACTGCATTCATTTTATTTCTTTGTTATCCTATGCAGTACCTTGTCCTCGGAAAACTGTTTAAGGAAAGCATTAGAAGAAGGATTAACAGAATGCTTGTCCAAAGTTGAGTAAAGAGAACTCCATGGCCAAGGCGTGGACATTAAAGACTCCTTTTGAGCCACTCTTGCTCATGAACCCCCTGGGGCGGGGATGGGGAGGGAATGAGTTTTTCAGCTCGTGAAAGAAAGGGTGGGTGATACCTTTATTGGATCACTTAAAAATCAAAAAGCTAGATATCAACCTCACACAGATCCTCATCAGTCTGGGCACTACAGAGTTGTGGATTAGGCAAAAACCCAAACCAAACCAACCAAACAAACAAAAACCAAAAAACCCCACCACACATTAAAACTCCCAAAATAGCCCACAGTTCAGTGGGTTCTTTCTCTACGAATTTCTTTTTTATGAGTTCATACAGGAAGTAGTTTTTCCACTGGAAGGGGCACAGCCTCCTTGATCAGGGTAGGAGGACCAAGCCAAACAACAACAACAACAATCAGAAGTTGACATCCAGTCACTTCCTGTTTGATTTTATTTATTTATTTAGCTAGCTTTTGGCCTTCTGACCTAGCATCATCCTCAGTGGCTATTGAGGTAGAGGGGAATGTCCCCCTGCACCAGCAAAGCTGCTTCACTGTATGTATAAGATGTATATATAAGAAAACCGCAACTCAAAATATGCTCTGCTAAATTGTCTGCAGAAATGGTGTGTGAGTGTGGGTGTAAGGATGCAGTAAAGCTGCATGAAGTTCATGTGTGCATAGAGTAAGAAAACGTAGGAGAGGAATCACAACACTTTCCCAATAGGAAAGTGGAAAATTGTTTCATCAGGGTCAGATATCGGGCAGTGAGGAGTGTTTCTAGTACATGGGGGGCTGTTGGTATGAATGCTTTAAGAGGCATGTAAAATATAATGTTTTGATTTTTAAAAAAAATGTTGGTCCTCCATTGTTTTTTTGGGAAGGAATCACAGCTTTCCTCATCTTCTAGTGATGGTTGCTGTTTAGTAGCTGCCATTCATTGGGTTAGTGCTAGCAGGCATTGCTAATGGGGACAGTACACAGAGGTATATCACTAAGCACTTGGAAAAAATGATGTCAGCCTCCTGCCTGCCTGGGAAGAAGTGAAGCTTGCATTTCAGAGGATGACAAAGTTTAAAAAAAAAGAAGAAGAAGATAAGAAATCTGTGTTTGGCAAGAGAAGGAGTTACTTAGATGAAAAAGGAAAAATATTAAGGTGGCCTTCAATGTTGAAAGCATGTATATACCTAACTTCTGGAGGGGACATATCCTATATATTAGAAATGGGAATTAAACTGAAATAAGGGATCACTAATCAGCGTAAAGGCATGACATGGTGGCTATTAAACTAAATTGAAGTGAGATAAAAGGATGAGGTAAAACAAATAGTACTAAATGAATATACATTAAATATGATATTGATATAGACATGATAGAAAATGTGGAGATAGAAATGGCTAAACAATTATATAAAGAAATCTGTATAAAATGCTTTAGATAACATCTATTATGTGTTAGGAACCTATTATTATTGGTATAAAATACAAAGTTGGTCGGTTCAATCACCTCAAAATTATATAGATTTGAAACTAGAATTACTTTTATTAGGTATGTTATTAGAAGATTTTGAGAACATTGTATACTATGAGAGCAATATTATGATAGTTGCCAATATTGTACACTAAAATACACACATGAATGGTTTAAATGTTTAAATAATGTATAGATTTTGAAGGGACAACTAAGAAGACACAAAGACAAAAAAAAACCCAAATAATTATAAGCAACCCATGTAACACAATGTTTAACAATCACGAATTGAATGTAGATATATTGAAAACTAATAAAATGTTTTTTTCAAAGAAATCTGTTTTTGGACTGCAATGCAAAGGGCACCTTTACTATTGAAATGGTTGGCAAAGTGTCCACTGGGGACCAGTTTCTCTCTCTCCTGTTCTACTTCCCCTTCAGTATCAGAGAGAAATCACAAAGGGCAGTGACTTCCCTTCAAGCAAAGAGACATTAGCAGTAGTTCAAATTAACCAGGCTCTTTCAGAATGGCCTTCTTCAGATAAGAAACATAATTATGAAGTCACCATTGCTGTTCTGTTTCGGGTAGAAGCATGAGATTATGACAGCCAGTCTCTGTCCTTCAAACTAGGAGCATTAGCAACACAATTTCACAACGGCCAGTTTATCTTCCTCGCCTAGGCAACACCAGAATGCATTTGAAATGACCAGTTTCTCTTCTTCAGGCCAGGAGCATCATCAGAGAGGTCACAATGGCCAGGCAGTCTGTCTCCTAGAAGGATTCAGCATTAGCATGAGCTCATAATGGTGAATGTTTTCAGCAGGTGATGTCAGAATGGCCAGTCCCTCTCACCACTATCTCTCTTAGTGAAATAGGCAGCAGCCTGTGCTCTGTAAAACAACAGGCAAGAAGAGGGTTGTTGACAGGCAGCTGTTATGGGGTTTGAACTTATATCAAGTATCACTGTGGCATGGGACCAACTTAAGGAACAAAGGACCAGATTTTAGGAGGGCAGAAAAATGGTACATTGGCATAGCACCTTAGATAAGAGCGGAGTCTCAATTTTCAGTATGTGCTTCTAGGACAGACTGGAAGGAGGGGAGAGACTAAGAGCAGATGATGGCTGCTTAACACAGCAGCAGTAGAATAAGAGGCAGAAACCGAAAGAAGAAGAGAATGACAGGCTAACGGGGAGGATGTATTGATAGAAGGAGCAACGCTCACCCTGCACTTGGAATGGTGCCACTAAAAAACAAAAACAAACAAACAAAAACAAAAAACCACCAACTGGGCAGCTCAGAGAGTCTCAGCAATAGCAGTTAAATTCTGGAACACCAGCTACGGCATCAAGCCTGGTGAATACTCTGTGAGTAGTGTTCTTCTGATATTGTTGTCTTCCAAAGATAACAGCTGCACATTTATCTCAGTGGTTAGTGGACACGATAGGCACAGAGAGGATGTTTTATGCTGGGTCATATTGTCCGTCTAGCTCGGTTTTTCTAAGTCTTCTGCTACCTCATCCTTTGAAGATGCCAGGGACCAAATACCAGTATTTGGAGGCAGATTGAGACTACTTTGTAGGCTGGCTTGGTCCAGATGTTTCCCATCACAAAGGGAAAAGATAGGGAAATTTAAGAACTGAAGAAAATATAGGACTAGAAGCATCAGAGATGTTACTAGCCAAATGGAAGTGTATAAAAATGTTGGAAGTAAAACCATGAACTAGTATGTATGGTAAATACTAGTTTTCAAAAAAAGAAAAAAAACAATTATGTGTCATAATGAGAAATATTTCACAATCAGTTTGTGAAGATCAGAAATAATTTTTACACAGTCCTAACACGACCAAATCAAGACCAAACTAGTTGTTCCAATACAACAGAAGGTGTTACTCAACTGTTTTGCTTTCTAGTATAATGTACTCATGTCCTGATGTCATGACTCTGTGCATTATCTTTGTATTGCAGTAGGGATTGTGGCTGGTGAGGTAAGATATGCATGATTTCAAGTTTAAAAATTGATATAGGCATCCGCTGTTTCACACAGCAACAAATGTTTACACCAGCTTCTTGTTGGGATAATACCAACCTTGCATGCCTTGTAATTCTAGGTATAAGTGGAAAGGAGGTAGTTTTTTTAGAACCTAAAGGAATTCTTGTGGGGGACGTGGTGGCGCTGCGGGCTAAACTGCAGAAACCTGTGCTGCAGGGTCAGAAGACCAGCAGTCGTAAGATCGAATCCACGTGACGGAGTGAGCGCCCGTCGCTTGTCCCAGCTCCCGCCAACCTAGCAGTTCGAAAGCATGCAAATGCAAGTAGATCAATAGGGACCACCTCGGTGGGAAGGTAACAGCGTTCCATGTCTAAGTCACACTGGCCATGTGACCACGGAAGATTGTCTTTGGACAAAAATGCTGGCTCTGTGGCTTGGAAACGCGGATGAGCACCGCCCCTAGAGTCGAACACGACTGGACAAAAATTGTCAAGGGGAACCTTTACCTTAAAGGGATTCTCTCTTTTCCTGCTCACCAATTAACAAAGTCATTTCACCTGTTCCCCAACTGAGGATTGCCCCTCCTTCTCTGTTTGCCTCTGGTTGTTTGTTTGTCCTCTCTTTTCCTCTATGACTTTTGACTGGAGCCAGCATACTCTTTCTCTGTTCCTGCCCTTGGCCAATGTGGACAGCATGGTGGATAATGGCTGCAATACTTTTATTGGAGCTTCTTTTATCCTTTTGATTATAACTGAAGATCAGCTATTAAGTAAAGACTTTTTTTCTTTTCTATTTAAGCTACTTGTATTTTTTTTCTTTTATATGTAAAGGGCTAGTGAGAATAAAGGCCTGGTGGAAGCTAAGATTTTTGCTATTCTGTGTTTCCCCTGTGCTGCAAGAACTGCTTTTTTATTTCTAAGCTCTGCTAATTATAAAAGGGAATCACCAAATTTTCACCACACTTAACTTATAGCAAATCATAACTGAAATTTATTATGTTGTATTGCCATAATTTTTCTATCCAATTCTGGATTTTATTTCAGAAATGCACTGGGTGATAAGCAACATTTTATGTAGTGGCTTAATAGAGAGGATCCAGCTGTGTGGAGACTTAACTCTAAAAGTTTAAAAAACCCACATAAATACATAAAGATGGTGTGTCCTAAACCATTATTGCAGAGAGGTGTGGTGACTTGTGGGTGGACAGGCAAATGCTCAGGCTGAGCTAACAAAAATGTATTTTGGTAATACTTAACTATCTTCAGTCAGGGCTTGAAGAACTCCATTTAGACTTTCCAGAATCTGTTCTTCACTTTCAGCATCCCTTCCACCAAATCTGAGACGTTCCAGGTGTAGATTTAGGGACTCTGTTCAGAAGATGAAACAAATGTAGTTAGTCCTTGTGATGTTTACCCAGTGGCCCCTGTTTGTTTTACCACACAAAGAACTCACACGAGTATCCCAACACGTCCTTTACCACGCTGCCACCCATTGATCTCTTTATCAACTATGTTTCTTATGAAAGACTGAGGTCCATTCAGTACTTTGAAATAAAACAGGTTTATTGTTTACAAGTTGTTTTAGGAATAGTTCTTAAGCATATTCTTAAAGTTACACAAAGCGTTCAGTATTTTCCTTTAACCTCTTCTATATTAACTAATACAGATAACTCTCTATTCACTCCTTAAACTCTCTCTCTCTCTGCCTCAAAACCCAAATTATCTTCTGTTCTCTTCAAACCTTTCTTCCCTATCTACTCTCAAAACTCGGTCTCTCACATTTTTCTACAGCCCCCCCTTCTATCTAGCTGGCTCCGCCTCCCAACAGCTCCCTATTGGTTCATGCAAATATGCTGCTGAATATTCATACCAGGGTGATCACTACAGTAGTAGTGAAGCAAAAGCAATGGAAGGCTGCCCTTTGCAAAGATGGCCGCTGCAGCTTCCCTATCCTAAAGAAGCTGCAGCTGCCATTTTTGCAAATGGCAGCCATTCTCCCTTTTTACACACCGTGGCTGCAGAGGCCAGATGGAGACCTTAGTGGTGGTGGCGGTGGCAATTATGGTAAGGGGATGTTGGCGGGGTGGGAGGTGGAGGGG